CAAAATGAAGGCGTTCTTGCTCTAACGCTCCAACTTTCCCACCTGGTGAGTTAAAGCTGATTTTCTCATCAGGAACTGCGACCCTGTTGGTTCCTGTTGAGCAGGCGAACACTACGTCCTCAGTGTACAGAAAGGCTGTGGAGCCAGGGGAACGAGGCAACACCAGCCGAGTGGCCTGCAGCGTCTCCTTGTTCTGAGGAAATAACAGAATAACTGAAGACTTTCAAAATAAAAGCATAAATATCTTCACTCTTATAATAGGAACTGTAAATGCTGGACTTTATTTTACAATGTCCTGTAGTTTCACTGTCACTTGTTTGGACAGTTCCACTCTTCTGCGTTGCTCAAAGTGGTTAATGTTTTAATAATTATAATCGAGGATTGTAATTATCAGGCTCTTCTTGATGAGCAGGCTTTTACACAAGAAGAGAATGACCAGACTGATCCTCTAATAGATCAAATCACAAAAACACCACTGCTGCAGTAGCAGCTTCAGGTCTGACCTGGAAGGGAGAGCTGTACTTCGTGACCTCCACGGTGAACTGGTCAGAGATGGTGGCTCCGTTGTCCTGCAGGGTGACCAGGCAGAAGTAGGCCAGGCAGGGAGTGTCGGACGGATGCCAGGCTGCAGCCAAAACCACCAACCCGGCTCTGAAAGCACACAGAGTGTAGCTCAGTGCAGCCAGGGGTGCAGTAAGTTCAAGAGGAATAGCGAATAATAGAGGAACATGGAGGCAACAAATAAACACAAGATAACCTGTCGACTAAGACAGTGGTCCCCAACCTTTTTTACACCACAGACCGGTTTAACGTCAGACAATATTGTCACGGACCGGCCTCTAAGGTGTCGCGGATAAATACAACAAAATAAAATCATACGACCAAGACAAAAATGGTGGCATTTTGTAAATAACATAATAAACGCGAATTCACTGTGTAATTGTGTAACTTTATTAGCAGCGTCCTCCTCTCCGCCCCTTAACCTCCGAGGACCTGGCGTCCACATATGTTGACATCACATCTTGGGTTATTTAGACCAAAATACTGCAAGGGCCTGATGTCCACTTACGAGGACATTATACTGCTACTCTTCTATCGAAATTTTAAACGAATATTCTCATATGTGGCTCTCATTTTCCTTGGGAACAAAAATCCGTTAAATTTTTTATTTTTTAAATCTGGTAATTCTTTGTTTTTGCATTCATCAGGTCAAGTGTAAAACAAGTCTTTTTATTGACTGAATGGATAAAATCCATCTTTCATTTAATATTTATATATTGAATATAATTTTTTAAATTCTGAGATTAATCTTTGAAGTGCAGAGCGACACAGGATGGCTAGCTCAGTTTGGCCGTAGTATGCTAACGCTAGAGTGACCATATTTTGGTTTCCAAAAAAAGAGGACACTCGGTCCAGTCATGAAGAACTTTAATAATACTGTTTGCTTCAAGAAAACGTTAACACATTCAAACGATGGCTTCTCTGTGTGGTTAATGAATCGTGAAATAAAAAATGTCATATAGACTTTTACAAGTCAACAAGTGCAAAAGAAGAGGCCGGTTGGTCACTCTAACACTTTACCATGCTTTAGCACATGCAATCCTACATGCGGCATGTTTTAGTGAAGAAGAAGAAGAAGAAGAAGAAGAAGAAGAAGAAGAAGAAGAAGAAGAAGGAAACAAAAATGATTCAGGTTTTTGTGAATCCAAAGACAAGCTGCTTTTAATCACACACTCACTGGCTGAGCTTCATGTCCAGGTATGCCACATTTGCTCCCTCCTTCATCTCCTCATAGTTGCTCTCTGACCCCTGGAGGAAAGGAAATCTTTTTCATTTGGATCTTATTTATTTAGTTTTCTTTGCTACAGTGCAGAACAGGAAAAAACCCTTCATCTGTAATAAATAAGGTCACATGTTTGCTCATACTGACCCATATAGCGTCTGTGATGCTCTCGTTCAGAACTCTGCGCGCGTCCCAGTTGAGGATCTGGTGCTCCGAGCTGTCGTCGACCTCCCATTTACTCAGACTGGAATCAGTGAGAGTGTACAGGGAGCTGCTTTCCCCCACCCACAGCACACTGCAGAGCTGCAGCAGTAATAGAGTCAGAACTCTGAACACTGAAGATAACTAAACTGACACTGGAGAAGAACTGCCCTCACTATTCAGCCTGATAGACTTAAAACATAAAGGGTGTTTAAGAAATTTGTGAATCGGAATCAAAAGCAATCACTCATTTCTCTCTGTGGCTAAAATTGATTAAAAAAACTTGATTAATATAAAACACAAACAAATAACACATGGAGGAAGTAATTAGCAGGTTATAATCAGATTATCTATGAGTGACAGTAAAAAATGGGGAAAGAGTCAAGCTCAGAGCAACACTATTCGATGTATTTAAAGGTCATCACCAATAGATGAAAAATAATAACACTGTACACAGACTAGTCTTAATTATTAAAAATGCATAAGATAGAAAAGAGTTGTACAGATAGAATAAATGAAACTCTGCAGTGGACTCTCCTAACAGGACTCACCGTGTCATTGGCTGGTGTCGAGAGGATGCCAAACAGGCTGGAGACACGACGTCCGATGCCAGAGAGCATGCCCTGACCCTGCTGCAGAGCTCGGCACTGCAGCTTCCCAGAAGAATCTGCACTTGCTCTCAAGAGCTGATTCTTTACTGAGGACAAGACAAAGCTTCCACCCTGAGAAAGGAGAAGGAAGTGAGAAACAAAGAGGTCAAATTATATGTTGTTGATTTAATCCTGTTCCTTACAAATCTACACAAAATAAAGTGCTATGCCAGCTTTATTACGTGTGTTTAAATGTTTCAAGATATCTCAAGGTATGCAGTGAATAAACCGTGGACAGCAGCATTCCTCCTCAGTGATTTCTGGAGCGATACTGTTTGATGTGATTGTACTTTGGGACCCTTTTCAAAAATATTTGAGTATTTTGGATTTGGCAGAGTCAGTGGTGAGATTTTTTTGGAACAAATTCGTTAGCAAAACCGTCTATTTTCAACTGAAGAACCCTACTTACTCTGACAGCAACAACAAAGTTGCACAGATCTCCCAGGTCCACATCGGTCTCTGTGTAGTTGCCCTCCTGGGAGAGGCTGGGCCAGTAGCGAACCGCTCCTTCTGCAGCCACCGCCAAGACAGAGATGGACTGAACAGCAGCCATCTCCAGGGGAGCAGTGGAAGTCACAGCCACAAGGTCAGCAGTGTAGTTGTACTCACTGCTGGGCAGTTGCAACTCCTTACAAACTGAGACCTGCAGGAAAACACAGTTTAGTTTGTGAATTTAAAGCTGCCAGCTTAGCACGTTGTGAACTTTCAGTCTGTTTTGATTCATCGTTTACTCCATCTAATATCGGAATAAGAAAGCAGGTTTTGTGAGAGAAGAAAAAGTCCATCTTTCTATCGCTGAAACATTTACCACATGTTACTGTACCCAGTCTCTTTAAACAAAACTAAGACACATGAAATAAATGATCAGTGAATAATTATTTGCTTTGTCGATCCTACAGATGGAAAAAAGGCCTCACGCCGCTTGCATTATTTTGGAGAACATGTTAAAATAACTCTTTAATGATTTTTAGATTGTAATTTTAGTCTAAATGTAGTTTTAAAGTGAATTTTAAACTCAGGCAGAATGTCTGCCCTGATCATACCTTAGCTACAGCAGTTTGGCAGATCTTCCAGATGATCAGACTCTCTCCACAAACCATCCAGGCCCAGCCGCTCTCACACACCTTCACTGAGATCTGATCATCAGCTAGAGTAACCAATAAGAACATGAAAAACAAATGTTTAGTGGAAACTACTAACTCTCCCACAACCAGAAACATAAAGAGAAGAGAGAGCAACTATATAAGAAAATAGAAAATGAATATGTTAGTTTGAAGCTCATAAAATTACACACGCACACCTTTCATTCTCAGAAAGAAGACAAGGTTTCTCTTACCGTCAGCCATCGTCAGTGCCTCCATAACTTTGACGGGGAGGGATGAGCCAAAGGTCTGCACATCATAGTTAACAGTTTCTGCCCCTGCATGGCTCTGCACTCGGGTAGGTGTTGATCTGGGGATGACACAAACTCAGAACAATCAGCTGTAGCTACAGTCTGATGGGCCCAGTTAACCCAAGACTGCACTGACGACTCAGCACGAAAGAACATCATCTATAAATCTGTAAAATTGTCTTTATTTGCCATATATATGGAGCCTTCCGATTGAGTAAATCTGATCCGACAACACTCACCTCGCCGACAACGGCGTCCTGCGCTGGGAGAACAGGAGGCCAGGGACCGCACCGGAGACACTCTTCCTCCCGGGGGTCCTGGCCGGCTGCCTACGGCCGGAGCCCGGGGCGGTTCGAGGGCTAAACATGCCTGCGGTGGTACCCCGAACTGTTCAACAGTGATAACTACAACCCTGCCTGAAAAGCGCGCTCACACGAAAGATCCACCAAATACAACTCTCCAAACAGCGCGCGGTGCAGTCGCTGGATTAAAACGTCATCCGCCTATTTTGTAAAACTTTATTTACAACTCGAAAACGAGATTTTACAACTGCAACACTTTCACAGAGGAAAGTCTTATTGTGTGGGTAAGTCAGTCAGACTATATGAAAAAAACCCCCACACACACTTTTTCATGTAGGCCACATTCATCCAATTAAAATTAAAATTTTAAATTACTCCGCTCTGCTGATTCTACGTTTTTAAGGGGCTTAAAAGGTGAGTTAAGTACGCTAAATACTTAACTCACAGTTAATTTAGTGACTTAATAGTGCACTTTCACACAGATTTCTGTACAGCAGGGATTGGCAGAGACAATTCTGCCTCTGGGTCAGTAAATTTAAGCTTACATATAAATTTATAAAATAAAACAAACACAAATTTATGTCATCAAGATGACATCAGATCTTTAGGAGACTCCAAACTATTCAGTGCATCTCGTCATAGTAGCTGACTTTTATCAACTACAAAAATTATATCAACCTAATAACTGTGTTCTAAGATTTTTTTTCTTCTCAGGAAATCTGTTATCTATAGATTTAGCCTTGAGCTTGAAACGGGAGCCAGGCGAAAGCAGTAGATTAACGACACCTAGAATTGCTGATTAAAGATGAGAGCGGCCAGCTAGCTTAGCTGCTTTAGCTAGCATGATTTGATGGAGTCTGACAGGGTTGGATAACCACGATGGAGCGGCAGCGAACGACGTTGATATAGTAGTTATAGCCAGATACAGTGATGCGTTAAAAGCGGTCGTTTTGGACACAGTAACTGAAGGCGGACAGCAACACGTTATGCAGTAAGTAGCAATGTCCAAATAATGATGGTATGGCATTAATCCCGCTAAAAGTTTAGCGGCCAGGCCCACTTCTAGCATTAGGAAGTTAGCCAGTTAGCTTGGTGTAAGCATCCTCCTCTACTATCGAAACTTGACAGCTTTACACTGCATGCCTAGTTCTTTGCTGACTTTCACGTTAGTTGGCACGTATCTTTGTGCTAGCTGGGCCCTTTGTAATGCTTGTAACGTAAACACGCCAGCGTTGCTTTGCTATGTAATTAGCTACTAGGTGATGCTGTGCTCAAGAAGTTTAATTTGACCACGGAGATGATGAATGAGAATTTTTAGTAGTCACAGACATGTATCGTATTTTGTAGTCCGTTGTGAGCACGAAAACAGTTACTATATGCTTCCGACTTGTTGGGTGGATGAGCGAGAGAAGGTGCTGTGAAAAGTGCCAGGTGTCTGACACTGTAGCTTGTGCTCCTAAGGTCATGAAGCGGATTCGCACTGAGCAGATCCAGTATGCCGTGGCTCAGTACCTGAAGAGGAGGCAGTATGTGGACACTGACGGCTCCCTGAAAGGAGCCAAGCTCTACCAGTCCCCCGAAGAAATGGCTGCAAGTCTCACGGGTAAGATGATGATGATGATGATGATTCCAGCCTAATTAATAGATCGCACAGCCACATAGTTATGAGAAAAGACTGATCACACGAAAACACCACACATACACCACAGGATTGGCTTCACTGCAAAAATTAGCACTGCCGCCTCAGTGCAACATGGATTTGGTTTTGGGCTTGAACCTTGTAGAGCCTAGAGCTGTCTATATGGAGTTTCCATGCTCTCCATGGGCCTGCTTGGGTTTAATTCCACAGTGCAGAGACATGTGTTAGGTAACTGGTGATTCTAAGTGATTGTGAGACTGTGTTTTTTGTCTTGGTTTGTTTGTTTTGTTTTAACCTTTGTTAAACTCGTGACCTTTCTAATGTGTACCATAAGACAGCTGGGATAGGTTCCAGCTCACCTGTGTCCCTAGGATAATTGGTTAAGATAAATAATCTATTTTCATAATGCAGTGTAATGTATTTGACCCTTTGACTGGCAATATTCTCTGTAATTAACAGTTTTCCTGGTTTCTTCTTTATCTTCTTTCTCTATGTCTGAGCAGTGCAGACGGAGTCAGGATGTTCCAATGTCGTTTCTGCTGCACCATGCCAGTATGACCCACAGCAGTATGAGATTCAGTATTCCAAGCTCCGCGCCTTCCTGTCAGGTATGAGCTCTACATCACTGAGTCTAGACTTGCACATCTATAATTGTATTTGTTCCCAAAGTTTATGCCTCGGCTCCACGTTTTTTAGGTAGTGGTAAAGCTGCATCCTAAACAGCAGAAAGAGACAAAGGTTGTGGACGACTGGGGCTTCTTTCTGAAAGATGACATATTGCTGCAGTTTTAAATATTTTTATTTTCTCTGACAATTGTGCTTTTGTATTATTGACCATCCAGGGCTGATATTTTTTCATTTTGTCAACATTTCTTAAGCTGTTTTTGTGCGAGTCCACATTGTTTTGTCCTGACTGTTAAGAGAGAAACATGGATTACAAACTGGGTTTAACATTTGTCTTTCATACATTTATGTTCGTATTTATTTTTTGAAAGGGCATGAATAACAAAATGGATTATTATTGGCTTATACAAACAGCTCCACATGGATATCGAGAATGAGATGATGGAACTGTTACGATATTGTTAACCTTTGTTGTTATTGATTACAAAAGCCTAAAAAATATACATTTTTTTTTCTACTAAATAGAAGCAGACATATCCTGGGCTAAAGAGGTGAGCAGTGTCCTCTATCCACTCTTCGTCTACCTCCACCTGGACATGGTGCGCTTTGGACTGAAAGGGGCTGTGGATGGTTTTTACAGTCGTTTTCATGGCGCCTTTCTTCAGGACAGTGAGCAGCGTACCATCATAGAGCAGCTCCGCCATGTCCTCAGTGCACAAGACATTGTGACCAACCCCAAGCTGAATGCTTTCTTAGAGCACAAATATGTGGTTCACCTGACGGAGCCAGCCTACGGCTACCTGCTGCGTTACCTGCAGAGTGAGGACAACAGCGCCCTCTGTAGGATCCTCAGTACACACCTGCAGCTGGAGGTCAGTGCCTTGAGGCGGACAGATTACCAGCTCTATGGAGCTGCTGGCGGGTCGACAGCTGCTCCAAACTCCACCTCCTCCTGGGCCGGAGTGGATGGAACAGAGAGTGGTGATGGGGTGGAGGTCCCAGCAGGGATCCCACAGAATGAGGCAGCCCTTGAGGCTCTGCAGGACTGCGTCAAGAAAGTCCGCGAGGGACCACCGTCACTCACCACTGTCTGTTTTTACGCCTTCCACCACACGGAGCAGATGCTGAACACTGCTGAGGTCTCGGCTGACAGTCGGTTGCTGGCCGGTGGATTTGACACCTCCACGGTAAAGCTGTGGAGCCTCCGTGCCAGAAAACTCAAGGCCAGACCCCATCAGGCTGATGTGTCACACATCCACCTGGCATGTGACGTACTGGAGGAGGAAGTAAGTAGACATTGTTATGAGAAGTCTTCACCTTAATTGTTTCCATATCTTCTTTTTCTTTTTTTAAAATTTGCATGCGTTTCTTTTGGTGTACAAAATCTGAGAAAATAATCCTGAGGACAAGACAAAGGTTGTCATGAGAACAGAGACACGGTGGTGAAGTCTTGTTTATAGTGGTGATGGACAGGCTATGATGTTTGCAGATGACATTATGATCTGTAGTGAGAGTAGGGTGCAGATGGAAGAGTTGCAAATAAAATTACATGTATGTGAATGAGAGGAAGATGTTGGAAAGCACAAGGAGTGGACGTTGACATGAGTACATGAGTTTAAATATCTGAGGGCAACCTTCCAAAGCAACAGACACGAGAGGTGAAGAAAAGAGGCAGGGTGGAGCAGGTATGTCAAAGGTGTGTAAGGGAAGATGTAGTGAGCAGAGCTGAACCAATTGCAATTTGCTAAGTTAAAATGTGTAACCTGCTGTTATTGATTTTCTTTCTATGAACCATAAATCACAGCAGATACAAACAATTTAGTTTGTCTTCAATGCAAATGCTTGACAAATATTATATCAGAAGAAATTATTGTCCCAAATATTATTCTCCAAAGCTGGAGTTAGTTAGATCTTCTTTCACTGAAACATCTGAAACCAAGTGCTTTGCTACTGGAAGGAGGTAGAAATGCTAAAATGAGTTTTACCTTGCCAAACAAAAGGAGGAGCAACAGCTTTATATAGTTAATTTTTCAGTATATTTATAAATTCATTAGACAACAGGGACCTTTTGTTTTTCTTTCTTTTTAACTGAACTCATAACTGCTTTGAATTTGTTTGTTTTTTTCCTTTGCTGGCACATACAAAGGTTGCTAGCCTATGGCGGCCTCTACGCACTGGATAGCTTTAACTTTAGCCACTTCAGCTCCTTTTAAAATGTCCACGTTTATCTGGGCGACGGTGATGTCACTGTCTGATTAGCTTTGTTTTTAGAAACATTGTTGTGGTGGGGTGCACTGAAAATGATCCAATTCCGATCTCTAGCAATGAGATGGGTCTCATTTGTAGATGGTGGCTCTGATTTAAAAAGACCTGCAGAGTTAAAGATTAAATTGTTTAGCAAATTTAGATTTTTAATGTAAAAATAAATGCTGTATGTTATTTTTAGATTAAGCTGCAGAGGAACAAAATCAGGTATAATCATGTAATCTTTCATCATTTCTTCCAAGGTAGATGAAGAGGACAGCTCAGGCAGTGAGATAAAGACGCTGCGAGGTCACAGTGGCCCAGTATTTCGTACCGCCTTCCTCACAGACAGCTCCGGTTTGCTCTCGTGCTCTGAAGACACAACCATCCGCTACTGGGACCTGGGCAGCTTCACCAACACGGTGCTCTACCAGGGGCACGTCTACCCAGTATGGGATGTGGACGTCAGCCCCTGCAGCCTTTACTTTGCCAGTTGCTCTCACGATCGCACCGCCCGTCTCTGGACGTTCTCCCGGACATACCCACTGAGGCTCTATGCAGGGCATCTTTCTGATGTTGACTGTGTGAAATTCCACCCGAACTCCAACTATTTAGCCACCGGTTCCACAGACAAGACTGTGCGACTCTGGAGCACCCAGCAGGGGGCGTCTGTTCGCCTTTTCACGGGCCACCGTGGCCCTGTGCTGTCACTCGCTTTCTCACCGAATGGCAAGTACTTGGCGTCGGCTGGTGAAGACCAGCGGGTGAAGCTGTGGGATTTGGCATCTGGGACTTTGTTCAAAGACCTAAGGGGACACACAGATAGTGTCACCAGCCTGTCCTTCAGTCCGGACAGCAGCCTAGTGGCATCTTCATCTATGGACAACTCAGTGCGGGTGTGGGACATCCGCAACTCACACGGTGGGACGTCAGCTGACAGCTCGTCCAGCGAATTGGTGGGAATGTACACTGGAAACACCAGCAACGTGCTCAATGTCCAGTTTATGGCCTGCAACTTGCTGCTGGTGACGGGAACCGCACAAGAGAAAGCAGAGCAGTAGATGTAGCCGTCACATCTGGAGCTCTTTTGGGCGAGAGCTGAATGTTTCCCTGTGTCTGAAACTCAGGAGCCAAATCCTGAGATACATGTTTTTGTTCTCTTTCCTTCAAATTTCATTCTTCATGAACTGGCTTTTTTTTTTTTTTTTTGGAAATAAAGAAATAAATTACCAAAGTGAATTCACGGTATGTCAATATTGAAGAATCTCCCAGTTTCTTGTTTAACTGATGATCTAAAAATTGTTAAGTTCTGTTTTTCTGTTGTGATGTAAATTCAGGAAATATTGTTACTGTTGGAATAACTGACACTATCAGGCAGCTTTATCCCAAAAGGAAACTTTAATATTTCAAACCTGAGACGTGTACAATAAAGTGCGTTCAACATTGCCCGGCTTTCTTTGGGTTAGGCAGCGAGACGAAGCCTAAACCCAAACCCCATCTGTCACAATTCTTTATCAGCTTTCGCTGCTAATTCAAGCTCTGCTTCTGGTGTTTGACGTGTATTTTGACTCTTCACACAATGAACCAAATGCTACCTTCTTTAGTCAAAAGGAATAGGGCAGATATTATTTATTTGTAAAGAATATACAAAGCAAAATGCTGTTACTGCAAATAAGAAGAAGAAAACCACTCTGTGTGGTCTCAGTGCAGCTGTGCATTTGTTACATTTTAAACCAAATTAATTACATTTTTTAAGGAGAGCATTCAGGTCTGAGGGCGATGTGGAAATTGCTGAAGATCTTTGACAAAATTAAATGCAGTGACTGAATACTCTGACAACCAGAAATGAAAATGAATGATGTGTAAAATTTAGTGAAGATGAGGACCAAACAAAAGTATATATATATCCACATTTTCTTTATCACTAATTGAATCCATGTTACTTCACATGGCCATTTGGCACAGATTCTTTACACTCATCATAGCGTACCTTTGTTCAGTAAAATGGATTTCAGTTCAGTCGAATCCACGTTGTAATTCAAGTAAATGGTCATCAGAAGAGCATTGAATAGAACCACCTCCTGCCAAGTTTGTCTTCAGTGCAGTAACTGTATCAGTGTCTTTGAAGGTATTAAAGCTTTTTTTACACAGGCATGCACTTAGTATATAGAGTCTGGTATACTGAGGTGCATACATGGGACCAAAATAAGTTGGGGTAGCTGGCTATAAAGCGCCTTGCACCATAGGTGACAGTGAAATTTATTTGCACATGCTCACAGAGTGTAGTTCTTTTCAGATGGTAGTTTTGTTCTGCATTTTTGTCTTAATTCAGAAAGTTTAATGTCCACAGTAATTGTAGTATTTGTTTTTTTTTTAAAGGAAACTAACCTGTGTTCATGTCCTCTCACAACTGTCTCATTACCTGATTTAGGAAGATGAGAAGTCTGCTGATTTATTTGTGCTGATGTGCTCAATATTGACAAAATGAACGTTACAAAGATAATGTTGCTCGGTGTGTTTTAACATGTAGGTAGATGCTTCCAGTAAATAACTATCAGGCCTCCTGCTAATAACTTTCCTAACTAATCTAGGTCTATCTACACTGAGGGCAACTATTGCTTCTAAGATGTATTAGGTTAAAGAGATTTGATGTCACCATCCTGAAGCCACTCAACATAATCACCTAATATTGCTCCTTGTTGGCAGCAGAGACTGGACTGATTGTGGACTGTTAAAGGTCGTCTCCAGCACATCGTTCAGTGTTCTGTTTGGCTCACACGTCCATCACTGGTTGGTAACTATGTTGCTGGAATAACTGTTACATTTGTTTTTGTTTCCACTGTTCAGTTGTGAAATGAGATATGGAACTGATATCGTGTTTGGCTTTTGGACTGCTGGTAGACATTTATAAATCCTATCAAGTTTAAAAATTGTTACGTTTTAAAGGTTCTTCAGGGAGAAGCAAGTTATTGTGAATTAACAGCAGAAAAACTTCTTTCTTGTTCTACAGCAGCAGGTCGTGTCTGAGTGCCCGCTGTAGCTGTGGGTGTAAAAACTCTCATTTCTAAGCATTGAAGGCTGTTTTTTTGGTTTGTTTATTTTTTGAAAAAAAAAAAAATTCTAACTGTGCAATTCATAAAAACTGTAAATAGACATTATTTTTGTAAGTTTTGGGGGGCCTTCCTGGTAATACACACATGCCTGTGTTATTTCATATAAAGTCTGGTTAGGGTTTGATGTGTTATTCATAAATCCAGCCTGGAACTTTTCTTTTGGTGGTCACCAAGCTTTCTGTTTCCCTTTGTAGTCCAAAACAAGAAATAACAATTTCTTTTTAACAATGTCAGATTTCATTCCTTTTTTGTTGTATCATGTTGATGAACAATGAAGGACACTGAAAAGTAATACGTCATATAAGAATCCAACCATAATCCTTAGCTTTCTGAGTACTTAAGCACATATTATACTTTATTATAAAAACCTCAGAATTCCAGTTCAATTAGCATCATCCCAGTCATCCTTGATCACCTGACAACTGAAATTTATAAAGTGCTGATCCTTTCTATTTTACTGGCTGCGTTAATAGCTGTATTTAAACATTTCACATGTTTCTGTATTGGTGCGAAGGCTGCACACTACGATAGAAATGCTAATTTGATTTGTATAGCACATTTTAAAATGCACCGTGCTTTATTTAGGAGAAATCCACATAACAAAAACAAGCGAAGGCACATATCTCACACATATCCACATGCACATACAAACGTGCATCTACACCAGGGGTGGCCAACTCCAGGCCTCGAGAGCTGCTGTCCTGCAGGTTTTAGATAACACCCTGGTTCACCACACCTGAATCAAATGATTAGTTCGTTACCAGGCCTCTGGAGAACTTCAAGACATGTTGTGGAGGTCATTTAGCCATTTAAATCAGCTGTGATGGATCAAGGACACATCTAAAACCTGCAGGGACACCGGCCCTCGAGGCCTGGAGTTGGCGACCCCTGATCTACACATATGTATGTGTAGATGCACATGAAACCTACACTGGCTCGCTTATATTTGTCATAGCTACTGTGATAAAAGGTGAATTAACTTGTGCACCAAAACTGGGTAAACGGCAGGTGGACTGGTTCTTATAGAGCACTTTTCTACAGTCTAGCAGTCAAAGCATGCTAATGTGTCTCATCCACACAACCACAATTTTTTATGCTTCATTGCTTTACACACATTCGCACTCCAATACACTGGAGAGCAACTTGGGGTCAGTATCTTGCCCAAGGCCCATGCAGACTGGAGCAGCCAGTGATCAAACTGCCAACCTTCTGACTAGCAGCTGACCTGCTCTGCCGCCTGAGCTACAGGTGAATGTAAGGATGACAGCAGAGGGCAGAGCAAGTCCTGAAATATTCTGACATTAAATTTACATTATTCAGAGAAGAGAAGTCAGACCCCACTAAAAGATATTAACAATGACCAATATTCTACTTTTTCTTACTACGGTTTACTACATATGTTTGATGCTTCTGTTCTTGTAAATCTTGGCCTAAATAGCAACTGTACCTCTTACTGCTACTTTTTTGAAGTAATACAACCAAGTACAGCTGATGGAGTTAGACAAAGAGAAGGTAGAGGATGCTGCAAAACTACATCACCCATAATTTTATTTGTGTAATTAAGGTCACAAGTACATTGATTAAATAGTAACCCAAAAGAGTACAGCTCAGTGCAAGTTCTTCTTCAGCTATGAGAGGAATCCTGTGACTGTGGGACAGGAATGTGGATGTCATACCTGACAGTGTGAAGTATCACTGCTGTGGGTCAGGGTGGTGCAGATACTATGCTGGCACACCCTAAATCTGTCTGCACTGCTCAGAGAAAAAGGGAGGGACAGATAGATCCTTGATCTCTAAACCTGTTACAGTGGCCAGAGACACGAAATGACAAGACACTGAGGCTGATACCGACTGTCGATCACTCAGTGGTTGCTCCGCATTATTTAATTATTTCTTTTGCTTTACTTGGAATCTGTGGTGTGACATTCGAGCATTATCAACAATTTAGTTGAATTGTAGTTATTTTTTTCAGTTGAGAACCCATAAAAAGCTTGTTAGGCGTAAATAAATGATAGGGGTGACCATTTGTCCTTCAATGATTTGTCACAGAAAAAAAAAACACCACAGGCATCAGTTGTGCTCTCAGCCCTGCCCACTTAAAAAATATTTCTCTCTCTGTTTCCACGTGAAAGCCATGTTGCACTAGTACATCCAGGCCAAGTAATTTCCTTATAAAAGTCCCAGCAGACACAAATTTGATTTAAGTTGATTGATTTTTCAACACTGTGAAAGTTTAATGGCAAAATAAGCAGTTTCCCTCTGTTTGGTTCTACAAGTCTAACAGATCCCAGTTAGATGCTAGGCAAAGATCATTGCTATCAGTTCCAGCAAAATAGTCAAGAATAACTTCTCCCAGTGTTTGGCAGGCCAATTCTTAAAAAAGAGAAATAGATAAAGAGAACAGACGGCACAGTGTGAGCCACGAGGGGTGAGGTTCACTGCCGCAGGAGGACAAACCAGTTTCCGTCTGGAGGGTGTGGACCTTCCAGCCCTACCCACCTGTCAGACTTGTCTCTGCATCAAACACTCAGCAGCACTCCATCACGCGTCACCTCACCTGCTTCTCCTCCACTCGCCGAGATTCTTCCCAAAAGAGAAGATGTCCACAAGCCAGGCGGAGAACACGCAGTCAGATGGGAAATCCTTTGAGCAGCTGAGACATGAATGTCTCATGAAGGGAGTCCTGTTTGAGGATCCAGATTTCCCTGCCAAGGACTCCTCTCTCTTCTTCAGCGAGAAAGTTCCTGTCCACATTGAATGGAAGAGGCCCACGGTATGTGAGCACTGAGCATTCTTATACTCAAAAGAGCTCTTGAAATCTGTTAGATGCACATGTGCTGTTCATGAATTTCAAAATACTGAGTGACTTCAGTATGTTTCATCTAACGATTATCTGGTGATTTTTTCATACCCTTAAAAAGTGCATGTTTACTATTCAAATACATCTACATTAACTACACGAACTGCATGTCCACAGCCGTCCATGTGACTGCAAAGGCACTGAAGACATTAGACGACAAATTACTGAAATGATTCCATTCAAAAAGTGAAAGTTGATCAAAACTCTGTTTTTATTACTCTGAACCTAAACCAAGTCATGAAATACTTGTAGTTATAGCAGCAAAACCAGTTCTGCAGGTGAGCTGTGTAAATATAGCTGAGTGCAGCAGGCGTTTGTACCACTCTGAGCCAACTTTTCTGAAGTAAAAGTGGAGTGGGCTGGTTTGCAGCTGCTCCAACGGCGTGTGAGAGGTTTGCTTTTGCTGATAAACTTAATGTTGAGACATTTATGAGTTTTTGGCTTCAAACTATGTCATTTTTTGGGGTACTGTTTCTTATCGTACACTTCAGCTCCAAAATCTTTACCTGTTAACACGCCTACAGAGCTGACCCGATTTAAGCAACCTGTCGAAGCTCATGCTCGTTACAGTTACTACACATTTCTGTCCTGGGTGTGTGCTTTGTGTGCTGTGTATTTTGTGCGCACTGACTGGGATACCAGCCGATTAATATGTTTGGAATGTGAACACGCCTATCAAACACACCAGTCTCCCCTGTCATTTAAAAAATAAACCGACCAGTTTGTTTTCCTGTTTTGTGACCCTTCAACAGGAGATATGCAAAAACCCAAAGTTCATCTTAGATGGCGCAGACAGAACAGACATTTGCCAAGGACAGCTCGGTTGGTATTCAAGTTACTTAACTACTTTTAAATCTTGAATATTCACATATGTCACGGTTTTATTAATGTGGCACTTGTTTATTTCCACAGGGGACTGCTGGCTCCTGGCAGCCGTTGCTTCGTTGACTATGAAAAAAGAAGCCCTGGCCCGAGTTGTCCCACCTGACCAGGAATTTAATCAGAGATATGCTGGTATCTTTCACTTCCAGGTAGGATTCTCTGATCATAATAACAGACTGTACAAAGATGTTTACACACTGCAGTATTTCCTGGAATAAGCAAACACATAAGGGATAAAAAGAACCAGGATGACAGCACGTTTAAAGAAGCGTCATGCATTTGAATGTTCTTTTAAAAATTGTTGTTTCAGCGACTCCAGAACTTGCAACAAAAGGCCGATGACATTAAAAGAACGCCAGAAAACATAAAGTTAAACACTTTTTGACTGGTTGATCATTTGGCAAAATGTTCAGTCAATAATGTGTTAAAACACAGCCTGTAGTGTATTTGCAGTACATTTTAAGCAGGCGGGTGTATTGGAAAAAAGATGCAGTGCCCAACCCGTTCAAAAGAATGGGTTCCACCATGTTCCTCCAGATGTCTTTTTTCAGTACCGTTACTCTTCAAGCCTTTTGTTGCCTCAGTCCCAACCCCAACAGTCAGATGCAAAACGAGCTCATATTATTCATGAAAGAGTAAAATGTTTATGTCTTTTTTACATTTTATACTGTGTTGCAAGCAAAAAACACATTTCAGTCAAACAGAAACAGATTTACAAGTGAGATTATTTTAAGTAATCACACATTGTCTTCACTTTGTGTGAAGTCGGTGCAGGCAGTAAACTCACCGGTTCCTCTGTTAGTTACACTGTAACATGTTCTCTGATGGTCCCTCAGTTCTGGAACCACAACAAATGGCTCGATGTGGTTGTGGACGACAGACTGCCAACAGTGAGAAATCAACTCATCATGCTCCACTCGGCCTCCAGCAACGAGTTCTGGAGTGCGCTGCTGGAGAAAGCCTACGCCAAGTAACATCACTTACTTCCTCTTAATATTTTATCTTTCCATTCGTCTTGTCACATGCATGTTAAACATGTGACAAGAGGTTATTTAAAGAAACATTGTATAAATACAATTATATATAATTATATGCACTGAAACAGTAGGACATTTTTTTCTCTCGTTTATTTTAGATTGAACGGCAGCTATGAATCCCTGAAGGGTGGCAGCACAATGGAGGCCATGGAGGATTTTACTGGTGGCGTGGGTGAAATGTATGAGACCAAGGCTGCTCCAGGAGACCTGTTCAATATCATGAAGAAAGCCCTGGACCGAGGCTCAATGATGGGATGCTCTATTGATGTAAAATAAACAATCTAATTTTAAATTTTTGCCCACGAGGTTTACCCAACATATCAGCTCAGTTGCTGTGTTTTAACTCTCTCTGCATGCTTTGGTTTTCTTCAGATCACTAGCTCTGCAGAGTCAGAGGCCAAGACTTCCACAGGCCTGGTGAAAGGACATGCATACTCCATCACAGGTGT